TTTCCCCTCTCTCTTATTTTATAGGAGGAACGATGAAATCCTTCTGGGAGCTTTCTGCTAACATCTACCTCCGTATTGAAGCTTCCTTTTCGTTAAATATAATCGCATCTAGCCTACTACTAGGCTGCCATTTTCTACCACGTGATGGTTACAGCGCATGCGCAGATTGCTCTTGCATCTGATTACTGATAACATTCACAATGAATCTCATTAACTTCATATTCTACCTAGGTGAATATCGTTAACTAGCTGTGGTTAGGTTGATATGGCTTATATAACACCCGGCGGTCCCTTTGATCTTACAGTAACTATAGTATATAGTTTTTATAAGAGCGAGGGTTTGGAATTCGTTTTGTAATGCCAGGCTATGACTTAAAGATTAACGGTGAGTACGCCCGGATAGAGTCTCTCCAGTGCTCCTCATGTGAACTGATACTGAGAGACGCTATACAAAATGAAGAGGGACAGAGGTTCTGTAAGAGCTGCTGGGAAGAAGCAATGTATGATACATAATGCCTGTCAAGTGTTATCATGGGTTTTATCTCTCATATAGTTCCTCTAGTTCAAAAGCTCAAAGATTGGGGATTAATCCAAAGGAAGAAGTAAGTCTGCATCTCTTTTTTTTGTCCATCATGAGTTATACTTCATAAGTAAAGTTGTGTATTGTCTACCCATTATTCACATATATAATATTATACTAATTATATATTGTTTGCAGATACATCCTGATATTGCTGTTAGAAGAGAGATAGATAGGCTCCTAGTTTTATGTGAGAACTATGAGAATGGTTGTGATTGGACTGGAAAGCTTAAGAACCATGAGGTAGGCAGTGGGCCATGTTGAGATGTTAACCAAAGGGTGGGCTTCATGAGTACAGCTTAGGCAGTTCCAATAAAATTACTTGGTTTACGGATCCGACCGACTCCAATTTTTGGAAAATCAAAATAAATTTAAATTTTCTAATGCGCATGCGCAGTACCACGTGGTGGGTGTGGCTAGATTCAAAATGGCGCTAAATGTATTTGTTACTGTTAAAAGAGCAAGCTCCTCTATCTTACCTTCCACTGTATGTCAAGCCTCTGTGGCATCTACTGTTTGGGACTTGTTAGAGCAGCCATTCATGTTAAATAAGCCTACACTCACAGAAGTTGCTAGAGTATTTTGATAGTTTGTTTTAAAAAGTTGTGGTTAACTAACAATTATTAAAGTTAATTAATGAGTAGTTAATTAATTTCATTGTTTATATTTTAATTTATTCCAACCGGCCTGCTCTATTTTAGAGAAAAAAAATCCGTAAAACAAGTAATTTAGTTTGAATTGCCTTACAGAATTTTGGTTAGCAGTTAGGACAGCTGCAATAATGGTTTCTTGTTCCCTCCCAGCATGATCACAAAGCTATCTGTGAGTATAAGACCATGAGGTGTCCTCTTGGCTGTGGTAAGAGAATTCCTCTTGGAAAGTTGAGAAAACATGAACAAGATGAGTGTCCATTTCGAAAAGTCCATTGCCCACATTGCAGAAGCCAAATGTTGGCTGGAGACTATAATGTAAGAAGATAAGATGGATAATTATAGTGATTTTATAATTTATGTTAAGGATCACCTATTGAGTTGTCCTAATGCTCCTTATGCTTGTGGTCATTGTCACACTGAAATGCCTAGAAGTGAAGTGAGTTTGTGCTTTATATACCAAATGGAACAATGATCTCATTTATCATCATATTATTAGATGGATAGTCACACGTTACTTAATAACTGCAGAGGACAATTGTGTTGCTCTGGATGGCATCCGCAGGTAAACATATAATATTTTTATAATTAAATTCAGTGTGGGGAATTTCCCTGGGAAAACACCCAAACAACTATCTGTCTACAGAAGGAGCTACTCAAAATTAATTGTGAATGGATCCTTTATGGCTTCACTTCCTGATTATGTTCACACTGATAAAATGATATTCATTGCCAATGGCTTATGAATATAATTAAAATCATTCAAAATTTAAACCACATGTAGCTGATAAGCTAATAATTAGGCAATTTCTGAAAAACATAGCGACTTGAGGGGAAATTTACCTGAATAAAATAAGACCCAGCAACTGAGGAGATTCACAGTGTATTAAGCAAAGGTAAGTACAGTACTAGATCCTTTCGCAAAAGCCCAGCACTCCTGTGAATGATTTGCACAAAAATCAAAGTTGCTTTGTAGCTAAAAAGTTAAAATGCTGGCTGTGCAAGTAGAAGTGTATCTCCTAAAAAGAAGCACAGATGAAGCTCACTCTTGGTAGTAGCAAAGAGGAGAGTTGGTTCTATCTGTTTATGGCAAAATTAAAAGAACAGCTCTTGTGAATCAAGGATTTTAGGTCGCCTAATTATGACCAAGTTTACGGCACTTTTTCTAAAGCTATATCTTTTCCATTAAGATTGAAACTAGCAGGACATGTAGACTACACCTTCCTAAGTCTATGGAAAGACTTTAGAGGTTCCAGGTATTCTGTGAAAGATTTGTACAAAAATCAAAGTCAAAAAATTCTTATTAAACAAATAATTTTCACGGTGACATAACATATCTTTGCTTAAACTTTGCAAATGAAAACCAAACTTGTTTCTTTATAACAAGCAACTTTTTCTCTCTTAATGGTGCTAGTTACAGCACTGTTCAAGTGTTTATGTAAGAGAAATAAGTAAAATACCGTATAAGTGGTTTTTTTCGAGGGAATTATATTTCGCGAAATCTGCTAAAATTCCAATTCGCGGATTTTAATTTCGCGAATCCTACCACGTGTGCCATGCGGGTACCGTATTAAATTGATTTTTGCGGATTTTATTTTCGCGAATTAGGAGGGAATCCGCGAAATTCGCGAAATTTGCAACCCTCGAAAAACCACTTATACGGTAGTATGGGTATCCATTACAGCATGAGGGAAACCATACGATTTTCTGCTCTTCTGGTGTTCAGAGAAGTATAGCACCTTTGTGTAGACTGAATGTGTATTTCATTGTGACATGACTGACATTATACAGATGTTTCAATTGTTATTCCTACAGATACTTAATCATTTGGAACATGATCAAGTCTTCATGCATTTTCAAATGCTTGGACCGGCTATCAAGACAATGCAGACACAATTAAATGTAGAACTGAAGGAGATTCGAAAAGAGCTTAAAGAAATTACTGAAAGTACTTCAATATTCAAGGACGAAATGATTAACGAGAGCTTCTCATTAACACAACAAGTGAAACAAGTCGAAGAGCATCTTAAAGGAAAACCTTCAAATCAAATTATACTGGACTTACAAGAAAGAGTTAAACAACTAGATGACAAAGTTAATAAGCTGGAATCTCGAGCAAGCTACCGTCCTCTTAACCAGGGCTTTGATGACATGTCATCAAGTGATAGCAAAATGGGAGGATCAATCGAGCACAAATTAGCAGAGCAAGAAAGGACGTCGGGGATGTTAAAAGTTCATTTGTCAGAGCTCGAATTACAATTACAAGCTTCTCTTGCTTCTACCTACAATGGCTCATTCTTGTGGCGCATACCTGATGTCAAACGAAGGAAAAGAGATGCAATTGAGGGGAAAATCACATCAATATACAGTCCACCTTTCTACACTGGACGAAATGGATATAAGATGTGTATTTATGCCTATCTTAATGGAGATGGAATCGGATATAATACGCATCTATCCATTTTTTTTGGCTTGATGAAAGGTAAGAACTATAACGTTGTTTCTAGATTTTAAAATAATTTTAAGTGTAAAGAGTGAAC